TCCGATGATTACTACTACTACTACTACTACTACTACTACTACTTCGACGATTACTACGACTACTACGACGACTACTACTACTACTACTACTACTACTACTACTACTACTTCGACGACTACTACACTGCACTCGTCGTGCTACTCTTCGTGCTGCTACAACGTCCTGCACCACTGCAACCGCCACTGCCACTGCGACTGCTGCTGTGTCCAATCTCATGTCACAGACCACCGCATTCGTCAGGATACTCTTCGTCGCAACGACGGCTCTCTCTTTCTCTCTCCGCTAGACCACAGAAGAACTAGTGGCCATGTCTGCGAGAGTCGTCGTCATCATCATCCCCACCATTGTCATCACCATGGGTTGTCATCAGGGTCAGCATCATCCTGTCGTCGTCGCCAGCATCATAATTACCCATCACTATCGCCCTAGCGTCGCCACCATCATCGTCACCGGCGGCATAATCGTCGCCATGTCCTCCTGGCGCTGCTGCTTGATTGATAAGTGCTTATTGCACGTTCATTGTATTTTCGTTCGAGCCTGTGTAGTCTTGGCGGTTCTTTGGTCCTTTTTGATGTTGCCAATGGTGCAAAGAGTGTGGGTGACTGATTTTTTCGGGCACGTCAGGACCATTATGCTCAGTGGCGAGAGGCTGTGGAGCGATCTTTCGGTAGACGAGCAGACGGCATCATGGAGGCGCTGAGTGGCATTTCTGAGTTATGTGAGAGCCGCATCTGATGTCAGGGTGTCAGGTGTATCAGTTTATGATGTAGATCTTAAAACCTAAGCATAGCTGGTCACGGCGGCCATGTGAGATGTGGCAAGGCCTCGTTGCTCTCGCAACGCAAGTCCGCAGACGGAAGCTCTTTGGAGACTTTGGAGGAAGCTCAGCAAGGCTTGACCTGACAGCTGCGCTCTTCACACTTCAGATATGCGGTCAGCCTGATTGAAAGCTAAAAAAATTGCACAGCTTTGCGCCTTTGAACGCTTTCCGTAATATAATACAATACGGTGCAGGAAAGCTGTTCGACACACAGCAAACCTATCAGCCAGCCGTGGAGGGCAACGATCCACTACCAGCACCTTGGCGTTGAATGTCTTCCGAAGGATGCAGTGATTGTGACAATGACCGAGGACTGCTTGCCCACTGAAGCTTCTGACAAAGCAAAGCCGATAATCGTCCTTGACCAGCCATTCAAGGCTCCGTGGTATCTTGAGAAACTGTTGCAACTCTGTGCGTGGTCTCGTGTCATGAGCATCAGATCACTTGGGCAAAGGAACACCGCTCGAGCCGCTCCCTCGTGGAAAGTGCCCGCAGAGATAGTCTTAACGGTCTTACTTCAATGGAAAGACCGTCTCATGAAAAGCCGCATGACTGCAGCGAATTCAGGCACTCTGTACAATACTGAGTGGCTCAAACAAAGCTGCACAGCCTCCCAGCAATCTGACTTGGTGTAGTCGAGGTCCTCCAAGCCGTCTGCCGGCACCGCTGCCATGCTCGGCCTCCAAGACATTGGCGGTTTTCAGGGTTTCCTCCGTCGGCGCAAGAACTACATCGACTATATGGCTGGACTTCTGGTCCTTCTTAATTCGTCACTTGGTGCATGAGGGGTTCGTTGTTCTTTGCATGCAATGTTCAGGTGCGAGCAGAGTGCTGCCCAGGTTCGTTATGATGCTCGAACTGGAACTTGAAGGTCGCGCAGTGGGGGCGGCTCAGTTTGGCGGCTTGGACAGTCTGGCCAACCTCTATCAAACATGCTAACAGGCAATTTAATATACGACTATTCGATGAATTTCGTCTTTTACAAGCTAATTAGACTTAGCAAGAGGCGGAGTTTTGTGCAGACCGGCGCGGTATCACTATATAATCATACAGTTTTCATTTTACGGTATTATGATATCATGATGTAATGATGTTGCTATTGACCCATATGTATATCAGTACAGTATATTAGTCTGTTTGTTGAAACTGAGGATTCACAAACACTGGCCCCGACCTGGCCTCGGTGGAGCCTGTCTTTCGAACGATTGATGCCATCTTTGCAACTCCGCATAACGCATGCAACCACAAGCCGGCTGTAGCAGTGGTCGTCCTCCTCGGCCCCCCTCCGGTGTTCGGAGCAGTGGTATCAGCGCAGTGGCAGTGGTGGTGAAAGTAGTAGCAAAGTCAGTGGAAGTAATGGTAAGCCTAAGCATGACGACGGGATGCCAACGGTTGTCTCAGGTATATGTCTTCCTTACCGAGTTGGTTATCCGCGTGGTGATCGAGCGCTTGCAGTTTCCTATGCTGTGTTGGGAAGTCGCCACATGATCAGAGTGCTTGTCACGCCCCATAGACCCCATCCGTGTTGATGATGAATAAGACTGTCAAGCTCATGCTGAACCCAGTTTCTTCTACGACTTTGCCAACTGGTTCGACTTAGCGCTGGTCACGGTCGGGGCTGCCTGGTTGAGAGTTTCAGGGGCCTTGGCAAGGATGCGAAGTGCTCGGCTACGGGAGCTGAGAGATGCCAGTCGTCGTAGTTTCTGCAGTTTACATGAGCTTCTGGTTGTGGATGCGGAACCACGAGTCAACTTTCAGCCATCTGCACGCAGGTGTGAGAGGTTTGCATCGAAGTGCACCGCATAGGAGCAGTCTTTTGCCGCAACCTCCAATTCGCCCCGCCCCACGCCTCCCTTGTCTGTCCGAAGCACTTCTTAGACAATGCCGTCCGTCCAGCCTTTGGCCGCAAGCAACCCGCGAGCCGCAGAGGCTGTCCATAGGCATGCTGGCCCATTGTGCATCAGCGAGCGGAGTGACGCGTCTTCGGCTTCGAGTCTTTCGGCGCCCCAGGCACGGACGTACTCACGCGTGCCGATGGGGGTCCCGAGTGCGACGGGCTGCCACGCCATACCTCGGACCTCAAGTCGGCGATCCCTGGCGGCGCCGGGCCACCTTCGTAGTTGAAGACGCGTGTCTTGCCCAAGTTGGCGGATATGCCAGCGTGCGTTTCGACCGCGCCTGTCCAGACTTCGCCTCCAATCTGGAGGTGGGGCGCCCGACGTGCCGCCTTTCCACTTCTGCATGCGGGCTCGATCAACTTCATTCGCAGGGCGGGCAGGAGGACGTAGAGCCAGCGAGAAAGGCCATAAGTGATTCACCCTGCCGCAACTGCGAGTCTGCCCGGCGCAACGCTTCATGCTATGACTGCGAATGTGGCCTAACTTAAGATATCGATGTTAGTAAGCCCCTTATAATCCCGTTGTAACTATTTAATAACTCTGGTGTCCATGCAGAAGTCACTGCTAGCTTAAGGGACGCTAGTTGAGTGGTAGTGGGAAGATATAGAAGTTACTGAGCCCAACTTAACTTCAAAACTAATTTTTCTAACATACTTTAACTTTTTAACTTATGTCGATTTTGTGTTAGAATATTGTCTGCATTTGTCAGCGATGCCTGTTTTGTGTGGCATTCATCATTCTCGTAACATGGTGATATGATAGGAGTTGATAGGATTGGATATTGGTTGTTTATATATATATATATGCAATATACATATATACATATGTACATATATACATATATACATATATACGGATATACGTATATATATCTATATATATATATATAATTATAGACTTTTGCCACGTGTGAGTGTGTGTGTATGACTATATAATTTTTATATGTATTTTCAAACGTTGTTATAGGGTGGGCAGGTTGCAAAAGAGGAGAAGGGGGGGGAAGGGAAGGGACGGGACGGGAAGGGAAGGGAAAGGAAGGAAGGGAGAGGGAGGGGGAGGGAAGGGAAGGCAAGGGCAGGGCGGGCAGGGCAGCGCAGCGCAGGGCAGGGCAGGGCAGGGCAGGGCAGGGCAGGGAGGGAGGAGAGGGGAGAGGGGAGAGGGGAGGATTTCGGACTTTTTATGAACTTTTTCGCCTTGGTCTTATGAACTTTTTATGAACTTTTTCGCCTTGGCTTTATGAACTGAACTCATTTATGAACTTCTTCGCCTTGGGTTTATGAACTGTTTATGAACTTTTTCGCCTNNCCCCCCCCCCCCCCCCCCAATACTGTAAAAATACAATGTTTCGCAATTTTTTGTGAACTTTTCTGAACTTTATCGCCTTCGTTTTCTGAACTTTTTATGAACTTCTTCGCCTTGGTTTTATGAGCTGTTTATGATTTTTTCGCCTTGGTCTTCTGAACTTTTTGTGAACTTTTTCGGCTTGGGTTTCTGACCCTTTTCTGAGCATTTTGGTGTGGCCGCGGGTTCGGTGGCTGGGGTTGGGTGGGTGGGTGGGTGGGTGGGTGGGTTGGAGGGTGGGTGCGGGCGGGGTGGTCTGGGATGGGCGGGCGGGCGGGTGGGTGTGGGGCTGGGTCTTCCGGTTTGTTCGGTTTAAGGTTTACGGGTTTAGGGTTTAGGGGTTGTTGTCGTTGTTGTAGTTTCGATTGCGGCTGTGGTCGTGGTGATGGTTGTGGATGTGGTTACGAGTGTGGCTGTGGTTGTGTTGTTGTTGTTGTGGTTGTTGTTGCTGCTGGTGTTGCTTGGCTTGGTGTTGTTGGCACTGTTGTTGGTGCTGGTGGCACGTTTTTTTGTGTTTCACTTGCTGTTGTTTATCTCTTTTGTTTTGGATTCTTTAGCTTTTCGAATTTATGATAGCTTGTGTTAACTTGTGTTAACTTTCTGAATCACTATCTACGCGCCTAACATGTATATGGTAGTTGATCTAAAGCTCCTTGTGGGCTAACTTATATGAAACGACAGGTGCAGAGCTAAATATTAAAGTTAATCTTTTCCGCGAAAGTTACCTGTTTAGCTTGCTTGCCGTACTATATTACTATACCTACTATTATGACTACTACTACCACCACCACTGCTACCACTATTATTTCTATTGCTATTACTGTGACTGTTGCTGCCACTGCTACTGTTAATTTTGCTTTTGCTATTACTATGACTACTCTTACTGTTATTGTTATAACTATTTCTACTACCACTACCACTACTACTACTACGACGACGACTACTATTACTATGACTGTTACTGCTCCTTTTGCCGTTGCTGTTGCTAGTTCTAGTCTTGGTGCTAGCACTAGTAGTATGAGTACTACTCCTGCTGTTGCTATTGGTCTTACTATGGCTGATATTGTGGGCATTGTTCCGAGCATTATTATTGTTACCATTATTCTTCTTGCTACAACAGTCAATTAGTACCACCATTACCACCACTACTACCACCTTACTACCACTACTTGCCATACCTATTACCCACAATCGTATCAACGACAAACCCACAAATTCGGTTCCAGTACAGGGTTTTGCGCGTAAGTTCCGCGTAGGTGATGTTAGCGTCGACGTAGCCTGATCAAGGCCACCCCTAATGGACATTGTTGGTGCATTTCGCGAGTGGCTGGCGAAAGGGGCACCTCCTAGGAAGCCCTTACGACCCCTGAAATAGCCCTATGAAGACAGCTTTTCACTCCTCTGTTGGTACGGAACGCTGTTTTACAGCCTCACAAGCCCTAAAGCCGGTGAGAAGGGCTCCAAGGAAGTTTCAATCAGTTGCGACACCAAGACTGAGAAACTTCCAGGAAAACTCTTGACAAATCTTTAACCCGGAGACGGCTTCACACGGCCTTAACCTGCCGTTTCCAATTATTGTAGCTTGCACGCAGCCCTGACACTCTTAGGAAGCTTGCCAGAAGCTCTTCATTATTATGCCCGTAACAACTTGTCATTGCGAAACTTAAAGCCTATAACTCTAATGGTTTTACGAAATTTAGTGTTGTATTCGTATAGAAGAGGACATTCCGGGATGAAACAATTTAGATCAAGCAAATCCCAACTTGAGCCACCTGCAGAGTACTAGTGTTGGCCGAGGAGGAAGAAGACGGGGGCGAGGGGGTCGCCTTGTTCGAATCCTTCCGCTTGGCGTATGCCGTGGCGGACCCCATCGTCGTCCCAGGCATTAATTACATTTAAGTACTGGTATTCCGCAGTCTGGCCGTAATAAACGCGTGTGGCGGGCACGAGCACAGATGCCACCTCGCGCACCATGCGCACAAACGAGGCACGCTATGGCTGTGCGTGTGGCCCAACGTATGATATAGAGGCTAGCAACCCCATGATAATCCCGTTGTAAACCCGTTATAACTCTGCTGTCCATGTAGTAGGTTACACCGAACCTAAGGGACATTAGTAGAGAGGTAGTTGGAAGATATAGAAGTTACTAAGCCCACGAGGTAGTTGGAAGATATAGAAGTTACTAAGCCCACTTTAACTTCAAAGCTAATTTTTTCTGACATGTTTTAACTTTTTAAGCTTATGACGATTTTGTGTTCGAAAATTTTTTGTATTTGTCAGCGATGGTTTTTTGCGTGGCATTCTCGTGGCATGGTGATATGGTAGGATTTTTTTTTCTTTCTCGGTCGTTCTTTCTCTCTCTCTCTCTCT